TGGGCAAAAGGTCAACAAACACCTTAAGATCTGTAAAACAAGGTTTATCCCCAAACTTTTTAAAATACTGGAACATTAATTCTTCTGGATCCCCCAGTTTATAGTCATCATTCCAACCTTGACTTCATAAATGCCTAATCAGCTCCAGTTTAGCTAGATGTGGTCCTCGAAGATGTCGAGAACTTTTAGATTCTTCTGTTATCCAATTTTCTATAAGCTTCACAGCTTCTTTTGTGGAATAATGTACTTCCCCTTCTAAAGAATGTTCACCTTCAGCAGGAGGAGTCCAGGCTTCATCAATCAGTCGAAAGACAGGATCAAAATAAGTCAGATAGAACTACCAGTCATCTGAGTTTTGAGTAAGAGGCGCTGAGAAAGGGCATTGCACTCTGGCCACTTGCTCAACTTCTTGTACATAGCCATGCATTTATTTTCTTGACTCTGAATCTCACTTGTCAGTTTCTCTCCTAATTTCCCTCTGATGACATCCAAGACTTCCTGGTACTTTCCTAAACATTCCAGGATCATATAATAAAGTTCAACTTCAGCCTCAGCTTCTATCTTGTCCTCTTTCACCATTTTTTCAACCATCCCCTCAGCAAGCAGCAGAAACATTGTTTTTGAGAGGTTTTCATCCCGTGCTGATATAGATTGCATAATTAAGCTCATCACAGACCAAAGGAGTAAGGGTTTTTAGGGACAATCTTATATAGAGCCATGCCAGCCTGTTGCATATTCTTGTATTCGCTCACTCTGGCATAGGCCGTTAAAGGTGAGAGTGATACTCCTCACTATTGGGACCTTTCTTCACAGCTGCCTCATAAAGTTTGGTAACTAACTCCGGCTGATGCATCTCCCAGTAAAGAACAGTCAGTGCCCGCAGTGAGTTGTCATCTGTGGGTTCAAGGGCTGCCTTCTCCTGGGCCAAGGTGAAGGCTTCTTGCTTTCCAGTTCTCTGTAGACCAATTGCCTTTAAGACCTTAGCACAATGAAGATCCTTATGTTTCTTCAACAGTTTATCTGTTTGCTGAATTCCATTTTATTGTTACCACTATCAAGATGGCATAAATGGGCCAGAGGCGCCTATTGTTCGAGTCCTGCGTCGCCATGATGACCTCAGCATCCTTTTCTAATTAGAACACTTAAGCATATAGGTGGCACATTTCTTAATCTGATCAACGCTATCTATGACAAATGCACAGCTAAAATTATACTGAATGGAGTAAAACTGAAAGTTTTTCCACTTAGAACTGGAACCAGACAAGGTTGTCCTCTATAGCCACTACTATTCAACATAGTGCTGGAAGTTTTAGCCAATACAATCAGACAAGAGAAGGAAATAAAGGGCATCCAAATGGGGGAGAGGAGGTCAACTCTTGCTCCTTGCCAACAATACGATCTTATACTTATAGAACTCCAAAGACTTAACCACAAGACTCCTGAAAGTGATCAAAAAATACAGCAATGTCTCAGGATATAAAGTCAGTGTCCACAAATCAGTAGCCTTTGTATATGCCAATAACAGCCAAGATGAGAAGCTGATCAAGGACAGAATTTCCTTTATAGTAGCTTCAAAAAAAATGAAATACCTAGGAATATACCTCCCAAAGAGATGAAGGACCTCTACAAAGAAAATTATGAAACCCTAAGAAAAGAAATAGCAGAAGATATTAACAAATGGAAGAATATACCATGCTCATGGCTAGGAAGAACCAATGATGTGAAAATGCCTATACTATCCAAAGCAATCTACAAATTCAATGCAATACCCATTAAAATACCACCATCATACTTTCAAGATTTGGAAAAAATAATTCTTCATTTTGTATGGAACCAGAACAAACCCCATAGAGCCAAGGCAATTCTTAATAATAAAAACAAAGCGGGGAGGCTCAGCACCCAAAACTCAGCAGCTAAGGCACCGGCTACATACACTGGAGCTGGTGGGTTTGAATCCAGCCTGGGCCTACCAAACAACTACAACCAAAAAATAACCAGGCATTGTGGCAGGTGCCTATAGTCCCAGTTACTTGGGAAGCTGAGGCAAGAGAATCACTTAAGCCCAAGCTATGATGCCACAGCACTCTACCCAGGGCAACAGCTTGAGACTCTGTCTCAAAAAAATAAAAAACAAAGCCGAGGACATCAGCCTACCAGACTTTCAGCTATACTACAAGGTGATAGTGATCAACACCACGGTTTTGGCACAAAAATAGAAACCTTGACATTTAGAACTGAATAGAAAACCATGAGATGAAACTAACATTTTATAACCACCTGATCTTTGATAAACCAAACAGGAAAATGCACTGGGGAAAAGAATTCCTATTCAATAAATAGTATTGGGAGACTGGATAACCACATGTAAAAGACTAAAACTGAACCCACACCTCTCACCACTTACAAAAATTGATTCAAGATGGATAAAAGATTTAAGTCTAACAATAAAAATCTTTGAAGAAAGTGTGGGGAAAACACTTGAAGATATTAGCCTGGGAAAAGATTTTATAAAGAAGACTTCCATGGCAATTGCAACAACAAAAATAAACAAATGAGATTTAATTAAACTGAAAAGCTTCTGTGCAACAACCAAAGCAAACAGACAACCTTCAGAATGGGAAAAGATATTTGCATATTATGAATCTGACAAAAGCTTGATAACTAAGATCTACAGAGAACTCAAATTAATCAACAATAACAACAAAAAAACCCCCACTAATCCCATATATCACTGGACAAGAGACATGAATAGAACCATCTCTAAAGAAGACAGATGAATGGCTAACAAACATGAAAAAATGCTCCCCATCCCTATTTATCACAGAGATGCAAAGCAAAATCATCCTATCACCTAACCCCAGTGAAAATAGCCAACACAAAGCGGCAGATGCTGCCACGAATGTGGAGAGAAGAGAACATTTTTACAGTGCTGTTGGGCCTGCAAAGTAATAGAACGTTTTTGGCAGGAAGTGTAGAGAATCCTCCAAGAACTCAAATTAGACCTCCCATTTGATCCTACAATCCGATTACTAGGTACCTACCCAGAAGAAAAAAAATCCTTTCATCATAAGGACATTTGCACTAGACTGTTTATCGCAGCTCAATTTACAATCGCCAAAATGTGGAAACAGCCTAAATGCCCACCAATCAAAGAATAGATTAACAAGCTGTAGTATATGTACATCATGGAATACTATTCAGCCACTAAAAAAGATGGAGACTTTACATCTTTTGTACTAACCTGAAAGGAGATGGAACACATTCTTTTGGTAAATTATAAGGATAATTTACCAAAGCAAGAATCTAATGTACTCCATTCTAATATGAAGGCAGTATATGAGCTAATATAAGGTGGGAATGAGCAAGTAATATAAGGGAATGAGCAAGTAGGGAGAGGGGAAGAAGGAAGAGGATGGGGGTCACATTGTATGGTGCACCTCTTGGGGGCGGGACACAATTCTAAGAGGGACTTTATCTAACAAATGCAATCAGTGTAACCTAATTCTTTGTACCCTCAATGAATCCCAAACAATAAAAAATAAAAATATAAAAAAATAAAGTATAGGTATAATGATTTTGTTTCTTCCTATAAACATTGTACTTTTATCAGCAAAAACATTTTATATACTGATTTAAAATGTATTATTATGTATTTTAAAATACTAAATACTGACTTAAATATAGTTCATTATATTTGGTATACATTTATTACCCTCCCCCAAAGCTTTTTCAAGAACTTTGAAACAGAACTACCCATCAAACCTTAATAGCACCATCTGGTAGTTAAAAAATAGGAACTGTTCACTACATTTCAATCAATGTGAAGAAAAGCAGATTTTCTGAAGCCCTATCACTTTTATGTTAAGTTCCTGTCCACCTGGCTTGAGCAAGGTTTTAAAATATAGCCAAATAACAAAACAATGCAATTAATATTGAATCAAGCCTTTGAACTTGCTAAGTACAACATGGGTCTTGATTTCTTTTCTCAGGGATTATACGTAGTAGCAGCTGTTTTTATCCACACCTCCCATCATCCTCTATATGTAAGACTCCTCACTTATCTTGCCTTTTTTATTTGTTGCATTTTAGTATTTGACAGTTTCAATTTTTTTTTTCCTTGTGAGACAGGGTCTTGGCTCTATCACCCAGGCTAGACGGCAGTGGGGTCATCACAGCTTAACTGCAACCTGAAATTCCTGTGCTCAAGCAGCAATACTGACTTCAGTTTCCTGGGACTGCAGGGGCACACCACCATGCAAGTGGGGCCTGCTCTTGCTCAGCATGCCTGGAACAGCTGGCTTCAAGCAACCCTCCTGCCTTGGCCTCCCAAAGTACTGGGATTATAGGAATGAGCCAGTGTGCCCAGCCAGTATCTGACAGTTTACTGACATTTTTAATCTACTGATTGACTTCCCTACAAGAGTGTAGGTTCTTTGAGGGCAGAGCCTTTATTCATCTTACTATGACATCTTCAGTATGACCTAGTATAAAACAGATAAGCAAAATTTTGAATAAATGAAACGCTTTTTACTTAATGAATAGCTATAATTAGATCATCCTTCAACTTAGTGGGGGCAAAAAGTTCACTAAAGAAAATTTTACTATAAACCTAAAGATCTTAGGAAGGAAGGAATTGAGCCATCAGAGAAATAAACAGGGCCAGCCAGAGAAAAGTGAAAAGTTAGCTAGAAGAAATTAGGTGAAGATGAGACTGGTCTAGAGATATCTTTACCTGTGTTCAAAATGTCTGAACTACTGAAAATGAATGACTGAAGGGAACTGTCATCTAGCACAATCATAGCTGTAACTCTGACATAGACACGAAGCCTGTGCTTGGAATATTTACAGGGATATGGAGTTGCTACCCTACAAGGCATCCTGCCAAACATATTTTGAAACCTTAGGCTACCAAAAGCAGCTAAAGATGGTCATATGCTAGGACTGAATGATTTACAGACCAAAAATTCAATACTTTCAGTTAAAAAAGAAGTCAAAAGGCATTAATTATAAAAATTATTTATTTCTGCTCCTTTCATACATCTTATTGTTCAGGAAACAGTCACAGACATCTCTGAAATAATGTACTATCACACACTCTGTTTAAAGGCAAAGCACCATAAGTAAAGCTGACCGGCTGTCCAGAGTTCTCAGCTTATGGAATCTCACTTCCTGATTTTATGTTAATTTCTGCAAATCAGAAATATTATCTCCAAAAAATGTTAATGGGGTTGTAAAAAATAATTTTATTCAATACTATAGTTGTAGATATGGAGTATACTTTTAAGAAATGAAAAACTAAGAAGAAAACGCCACTTAACATCGTTGGTACATCAATCAATATAGGTCTGCAGGAAAAGATGCTGTGATAAACTTGTCTTTGATATGAAGAAGAAATTTTAGTCCAAGCTTGAATACACTTCACTAGATATTTCTTTTACTGCAGCTCTTCATCCTTTCCACATTTCATATCAGAGGACTGGTACAGCCTTTAAAACTTCATTAACAGGAGCAAATCCAGTATCCATTGATTTCTTCTCAAAAGGCACTCTAACCCATCAGATAGCCCCTATAGAAATAAAGATGAGAAGCACAAAAAGTGAAAGGGAAGCAACATTTCAAAATGTCCAAATTTTATGATGAATGAAATGACAATCCAAAAATACAACTGTGTGATTTCTCATTATGGTTCTTATTTCATATCTTGCCCCTTAGCCAAATACAAAAATAAATCACCAGGCCTCAGTTCTACTAACCTTCCCTTTCAAAGTATAAAGTTATAAGGCAACATGCTAAACAACAAAGAATAAAAAAAGAAGAAATGTTATGTAAAAGTTAAAGAGTCAACCATTCTACTACTTTAGACTTCCAGAATTGCAACAAAAATCAAAACTTTTTACAGAAAGAAACTTTTCTGGATTTCTTAAAACCCTAAAATATTACCAGAGTAGAAGGTGGGAAAATCAGGAATTTATGTCTAGAAGCTGAGCCTTGAGCTCTCAAGAAACAGTGCAGAAACATCTGCTCCTGCACCTCTAGGAAATGTCTGGAAATGACCTCCTAGGAAAGTCTGGCTAGCAGTTAGGTTATTTTCACTCCCCCTGTCAAACTTCATGTTGATCCAATAGGAGATCCTTTTACTAATAAAGTACAGGGTAAGCCCTGAAATCCCCTTTTACAATAAACCCTTGAAAATATATTATCAATTAAGGATCTATAGGTTCAGGAAAAAATAGAAAAATTACGTAAAAGTATCCACACTAAGGGCTTAGTACACTCTGAATTCACTAATGCTTTCAGAACATCTCTCCTTTTGACCCTGTGTCTTAAGCCGAGCTGAACCTCACTCAGTTTCCTCATCTGTACATGGAATTACCTCACAGGGTTTTAAAGACTACATGAGAATGTACTCATAAAGTACCTGCTACTCATACTATGGTAATAAGCACTTCACAAATGCTAGCTGCTCCTAGTAGAGCAGTGGTTCTCAACCTTCCTAATGCCGCGACCCTTTAATTCAGTTCCCACAGGTTGAGAGCTGCTGTATTAGTCTCAAGTTTCTTCAGCAGTAGGCAGTGTTTAAAAATGACGTAACACTGAGGTCTGCTTCAGAGTTTGGCACACATTAGGTACTAAAAAATGTGACTGTCCTCCCTTCCCACTTCTAGATTCGCTTGGCTACCTATACGACTTAGACCTATGTGCACCCAGAACATACACACTCTTCCTTCTGCTGCCATCAGCCCAGCCAATCCACACTTTCAGTAAAGAGAACTTGCATCTAACACGACCCCCTTTACAACTCTAATATAACCCAATACTTCTCAACTCCTCCACCTCAAAAATGAGTAAATTTTTTTTAAAAATCAGAAGGTTCTTTGACTATATATATGTTGATTTTGAGAACCTCACATAAATTTGCTACCATAATGCCTGACGATTCACAAAAAGAATACTTTTTAAAAAAGGATATTTTAAGACCTAAAGAAAAAAAACTCAAGAAGATTTGAAGCAAGTATCCTCTAAAATCTGCACCACACGATGGATGAAAGCTTCCCAACACTACGGAACCAAAGTACAAACGACTCTTTAGAAGTAGCGTCCTGTCATCTGCAGATGCTGAAACGTGAATAAGCACTTTGGACTTCCATCTCTTCGTATGGTTATATATTGTGGTATTCTTCCTTCTAACTAGTATGTAACCTATACTTATGTCCTATAAATCCACAGATCACTGTCAACCTATATTTAGATGGAAAACAATCTCTTTTTTTGTTTTGAGATAGTCTCATTCCGTGCCGTAGGTAGAGTGCCTTAGTGTCAGCCTAGTTCACAGCAACCTCAAACTCCTGGGCTCAAGTGATCCCCCTGCCTCAGTCTCCTGAGTAGCTGGGACTACAGGCTCATGCTACCACACCCAAGTAATTTTTCTATTTTTAGTAGAGACAGGGTCTCACTCTTGCCCAGCTGGTCTTGAGCTCCTGAGTTCAGGCGATCCTACCCACCTGGGCCTCCCAGAATGCTAGGATTATAGGCATGAACTACCATGCCCAGCCTGGAAAAGAATATTTAAATAGATACACCCTGTTCAAAGCTGCCAAACTTACATATACTCCTACCTTAAGAAAAGTTTTAGGAAAACTAAGAAATATTATAATGCTATAAAGATATCATTTTAGGAGAAAAAGAACAAACAATTACTATGCTTCTTGGTAGGCAAGAAAAAATAAAATTTTTAAAACACATGTACTAAGGATTTTTTCTCTTGGCCTCATTTAGCCCCCTCTCTTATGGCTCAGAAACTTTGAACATCTTTAATTAGTACACTCAGGTCTATGAGAATTTTACACAGGTAAAATTTTTGATAAATAGAGTGGCTCATGCTTGTAATTCTAGTACTCTGGGAGGCCAAGGCAGGAGGATTGTTTGAGGTCAGGAGTTCAAGATCAGCTTGAACAAAAGCAAGACCTGGTCTCTACAAAAAATTGAAAAAATGAGCTGGGACTGGTGGCATGTGCTTACAGTTCCAGCTACTTGGAAGGCTAACTCAGGAGGATCACTTGAGCCCAGGAGTTTGACATTGCTACGAGCTATGATGACACTACCAAATGCTAGCTTAGGCTTGAGAGCAAGATGGTCTCAAAAAAATAAAAGTAAACCAAGAACTCAAAAACAAATACAGACAGGAGAAGCCACCATGAGTGACCTTCTATTTAACCTTTCTTTTAAGGCAGCCAATCTTTAAATAATCATTGAGTGTCTTCAGTATATTAAGGCAGGCATTGTGCTAGGTTAACACTAATACAGAAATGTCTCAAAATACTATGACATACATTATTGCACTTAATCCTTGCAACCTTCCTACAAAGGTATGCAAACAAGCATTATTCTCATCTTACAGTTGAAGAGTATGAGATGATAGGACCAATTAAGTGGTTTGCTCAAAATCACAAGGCCAGAAACACAAGTTTCTACACTTCTGGCTGACTATCTTCTCCAGTGGTCCTGGATATGGAAATCTCACTTTCTTCTTTTAGAAGCAGAATAGTTTATTATTTTTGAAACTGTGGCCAGAATCCAACTTGAAACATATAACTTACAGGACTCGGTTTATCTTTATAATAAAAACACTGACATCGATATAATGCTTGAGGGCACATAAGACACCCTCGCCTTTAATCTTGACGGTAACTCTCTGAGGTACATTATTAATTTAATTTCATAGGCTTGGAATTTGAGGTCAAGAGAGTTCACAGAACTAACTCAAAGTCTCTGAGCTAGTAAGTGGCAAGCCCAAAACTGGACTCCAAATTTCTCACTTTCTCTACAACACACTGTCCTCAGCAGCTGTACAAATGTTTTGTTTCTTCAGAATTACCTCTTTCACTTGCTAAAAGTGAACCATGAATATGAGATTTTACTCACTGACACAACCCAGCTGCCAAACCCTCCACAGCCTTAATTTTATGGAATATAGCTCCAAATCTAGAAGCAAATGAAAAGAGACCCTCAAACATCTGAAAGGGTGGTTACAAAGTCAAGCCATTAAGCTCTCCGTCAGCTAGTTCTGAGTGAAAAGGCAACCAAAGAGCTAGGTTAACACCTAAGTTATCTATTTCCTCAAATCACTTAATTAACCAGCAAACAAAACAGAGGAAGGAAAGGATGAAATTACAGTAGGTGTTCACTGATAACAATGAGATGGCGACAGGTTATATCGAAGAAATATAAACTATAAAAACCAAAAAGTAGTACTATGTGTAACAGAAATGGAAAATGACCCTTAAAGGGTAAAATTATGCTTAATGCTCAGTGTCCAATAACTAATCAGCATCAAATGAGTATATTATAGACAAACGTTTGAGTGTTAAGGAGCAACACAACTTAAACACATTGAAAGTCTGTCACAAATGAATACAACAATATTTTGGTATTTGTAGGGCTAAATTTCAATTCCATGAAAAAATCACATATGCAAATCATGTTCCCTAAATGATGTTAATTTAAGTATTACTGTAATCCTAACTTTTCATTCCTTTCTCCCTTTGAGAGGACTTCTTTTCTGACTGATCCCATGACCTCAATAGCTCTCTTGAAATAAGGTCACTTTTGCCAGTCTGAGTGAAGCAGGCCTTTTCTCCTCAATGACACAGCAGCATCTATTTAGAATAGTCCTATACACAAAGGTTTATAACAGGCTTGGCTAAAGGTAGGAACCTTTAGCCTCCACTGAGCACTCCACCTCCAATCTAATACTTTGCCAGATCTTAGGCCATTACCAACTACACTACAAGTCATCTTTTATGTTTTTCTTTTTAATTTGTAAGATTCTGCTTTTAAGCTTCTAAAACTGCCCTACTAGTGGAGGCCAACGACAGTTTAATGGCCACTAATTATTTTTCATAAGAAGCAAGTACAGGGTGGCACCTGTGGCTCAAAGGAGTAGGGCGCTGGCCCCATATACCAGAGGTGGCAGGTTCAAACCCAGGCCCGGCCAAAAAAAAAAAAAAAGAAACAAGTACCGTACAAACGTGTACCATAGTCTTCTATCCCTGACCAAACATTTCTTGAGTCTGTTTACATTTAAAATATATTGAATACACACAGAGACACATACACTATCTCATAAATTATATTAGAATATTTTTACTTTCAAAATGAAAATTGCTCCTTTAAAATTCTGAACTAAGGGCGGCGCCTGTGGCTCAAAGGGGTAGGGTGCCGGCCCCACATGCCGGAGGTAGCGGGTTCAAACCCAGCCCCAGCCCCCCAAAAAAAAAACAAAGAAAGAAAGAAAAAAAATTCTGAACTAAAAAGAATATTAGGGACTAAGGTCGGGCATGGTGACTCACACCTATAATCCTAGCACTCTGGAAGGCTGAGGTGGATGGATTGCCTGAGCTCATGAGTTCAAGAGCAGCCTGAGCCAGAGCAAGACTCTGTCCCTAAAAACAGCCAGGCATTGTGGCGGGTGCCTGCAGTCCCAGCTACTAGGGAGGCTGAGACAAGAGAATCACTTGAGCCAAAGACTCTGAGGTTGCTGTGAGCTGTGATGTCATAGCACTCTACCAAGGGTGACAAAGTAAGACTCTGTCTCAAAAAAAAAGGGAGTAAAATTAAATTTCCATTGTAAATGTATTTCCATCTATGCAAATAGTTAATAGGCAGTCATTTATTAGCACCCACATTTCTTCAAGGTCAAGCTATCAAATAAAACCAAATTTTAATCAGTAAAATTATATCAACAGCAGAGACATCAGGTCTTTAAAGAAGCATAAATCAAAAGACAGAACCACTACATGGTTCAATGCTGCTTTCTCTTTGAGAGAGTCTTACTTTATCACCTTTGGTAGAGTGACATGGTATCATCATAGCTCACAGCAACCTCAAACTCTTGAGCTCAAGCAATCCTCTTGCCATTGCCCAGCAGCGTTTTTTAGTATGTTTACTGTTGTTGTTTCACTCGCTATTATCAAACTGTTAGGACACCACAGGTAATCTGTGTAAAAGAAAGATATACCCCTTCCTTGCTGGTGATACAATGAACCAAACTTTGTTGTGTACAGTATGTGGGCCAACAGACTTTGCTGATCATCTCCTTTGAGGCCTGCCAATATTCCAGGAAAGGCAAGATTGTCTATTCTCTATTATCAGAGAAGGAACCATAAATTTGTTTCTCTTAAAAATTCAAATCCTAAGGCCAAGTATGGTGGCACATGACTGTAATCCTAGCACTCTGGGAGGCCCAGGCAGGTGGTTTGCCTGAGCTCAGGAGTTTGAGACCAGCCTGAGCAAGAATGAAACCCCCAAAATAGCCAGGCACTGTGGCAGGTGCCTGCAGTCCCAGCTACTCGTGAGGCTGAGGGAAGAGAATCACCTGAGGGCCCAGGAGTTTGAGGTTGTTTGAGCACTCTACCAAGGGTGACAAAGTGAGACTCTGTCTCAAAAAAAAAAATTCAAATCCCAAATTTAGCTGCATTAACAATTTACAGAAAGTAGTGATTTTTTTTTGACCACTATTTTGCTTTGATTAGATCTAAGCATAATCTATAACTGAAACCCAGAGAGTATACCCAATTTCCCCCACCCTCAAGCTCGGCTAAAGGACAAATACTTCTTTGCTCATTCAACATGCATCCTAGGGAGAGACCTATCGCTGTAAGGAAGAATGAGAACTAGGCAGAATAAGAACAAATCTGGTTCTATAAGCAAAACCAGGTCACTTCCTCTGTTCTGCTACATGCCTCCAGAAACGCCTTCTCTTTGGGTATTGATTGTTAATAGCCTCCTTGTCCTCTCTGGGAACCTTTCTTCATGCTCTGCAATGAAAACTTCAGTCTTTTCCATACCAGTAATCTTTTACCTAGGCTACACCGACTTATTTCCAATGCAGAAAAACAAGGAACAGAAAGAAGATGGAGTACTTAAATCTTCATACAATGTAGCCAATGGCCAGACTTGCTTTCCCCAGATGAAACTAAAAACCACCCTCAAGAGACTGAGGGGGCTATTCAGCCACACAGATATTCAGCTAACAAAGAACCCTGTGCCCTCTCTTCCAACCCTGCCAGGGCTAAGATGGGAACATGATGACAGTGAGATAAGTCCTGATTGGCTGCAAATTCTACCACAGATGTATTATAGAAAATGGACAGGTTAAGCCAGACACACTGGGAAATCAGTAGAGTTGACAAGTGATATGTAAGCAGTCCCTATAAATAAAATTACTAAGAGCTAACCTTTGTGTTATGCTTACCTGAGTTACTATGCAATGAAATCAGAATACATGAAAATGTGATTAGATTTGTCCATATTTCAAATTAATGATTGCTAATGGAATTGTAAGAGATGCCAAAAACCAATTTATTTTTCTTCTAAAGAAGTGAACATTTTAGGCCAGGTGCGGTGGCTCACGCCTCTAATCCCAGCACTTGGGAGGCTGTGGCAGGTGAATTGCCTGAGCTTACCATTTTGAGACCAGCCTGAACAAGAGTGAGACCCCATCTCTAAAGAATAGCCAGGCGTTGGGCAGCACCTGTGTCTCAAGGAGTAGGACACTGGCCCCATATACCAGAGGTGAAGGGTTCAAACCCGGCCCTGGCCAAATACTACAAAACAAAAAAAAGAATAGTCAGGTGTTGTGGCAGGCACCTGTAGTCCCATCTCCAAAAAAAAAAAAAAAAATATATATATATATATAAACATTTCTCTGAATCAATCTTTAAATACATATTTATCTATCTATCTATCTACCTATATCTTTTTCCCCCCTCTGTGAGGAAATAACTCTCCTTTCCCATCCAAGGCTTCTGGGTTTTCTTCATATCAATATTCAAACAGCAGCAACAATTAATGGCTTGAAAATATTCCCTACTATTATCATTACTACCATAATTCTATGTTACAGGTTAACTAGGGCACTTTAGAAAACCATAAATAACTATCTTCAGTCAGTGATGCTAAGACAAAATAAATTTTCTCATGAATGTGCAAAGGAATAACAACCAAAAAGAAGACCTATTAGTTTCAATTTTGTTACTAACTATGTAACTTTGAGCAAGTCACATATTTCTTTGGTTCTTGAATTTTTCACCTGTTTAAATCAAAGTTCAATCTCCTACGATTTTATGTTGTCTAGGAAACCATTTTACTAATTTACAACATAAGTCACACTGCTGATTACATAAATAACTTACGGCAGTTTCATTCTCATGAATACTCTAGCCATGAAAAAACTCAATAGGACACAGACGAATCCAATGAATAGAAGAAGAAATCTATTAAGTTTTGGAATATTTGGTGCATTGGATCGGTCCAGGATTATGAAACCTAAACCTCCCATTGTAAACAGGAAGCTGGATGCAAGTCCTTCCATAATATATTGTCCATTTACTCTGAAAAAGAAAAGAATAACCATAGCAAAACAATAAATAAAAATTTCCAGAAAAGTGAAAATTTTTTTCCTTAAATTGAAATCCCTATTTGTTTTATGCTAATCTTCTTATTCTTATCATTATAACTATTTTACTACATCTCAGGATAATCATCTGTCCATTTATTAAACAAATACTTACTGAGAGTCTATTAGGTATCAGGCATCATTTTAGTTGCCAGGGATACAACAATGAATAAAACAGATTAAACCCTTTGTTTTCATGGAGCTTACATTCAAAGTGTTTTAAACCTCAACTAAGAAAGGGGTGGATGGGTGGAGGGAGGGTGATTGGAAGGATCACCTCTATGGTTTGTCTTACAAGGGTACAAGTGAATCTTCCTAAAAGTAGAGTATAAACATCTTAACACAATAACTAAGAAAACTGACATAAAGTCTATGTTAACCAGTTTGATGAAAATATTTCAAATTGTATATGAAAACACCACACTGTACCCCATGATTGCATTAATGTACACAGCTATCATTTAATAAAAAAAAAAACCTCAACTAATACAACCACCTATAAAATAAGCATTCATATTTTAAATATTAGCTAAGGCCAATTATTTTATGTATGTGAACCCTTTATTCAGAACTTTAGCTTTGCTATTTACATTTTTACTGTAAATTTCAAACTAATTTCAAATCGGTTGAAAGTATTTCTTAAAAGTTTTATGTAATAGGCTCGGCGCCTATAGCTCAACCGGCTAAGGCGCCAGCCACGTACACCTAAGGTGGCGGGTTCGAATCCCCAGCCTGGACCCGCCAAACAACAATGATGGCTGCAACCAAAAAATAGCCGGGCGTTGTGGCGGGCGCCTGTAGTCCCAGCTACTTGGGAGGCGGAGGCAGGAGACTCGCTTGAGCCCAGGAGTTGGAGGTTGCTGTGAGCTGTAATGCCACGGCACTCTACCCAGGGGGACAGCTTGTGGTTGGCTGTCAAAAAAAAAAAAAAAAAATTTTATGTAATAATTAATAAACTTGTTTCAAAGGAAAATATATTAAAAGCAATGGTTCAGGCCGGGTGCTGTGGCTCACACCTGTAATCCCAGCACTCTGGGAGGGCAAGGCGGGTGGATCGCCTGAGCTCACAGGTTCAAGACCAGCTTAAGCTACAGCAAGACCTAGTCTCTAAAAATAGCTGGGAGATATGGTAGGAGCCTATAGTCCCAGCTACTTGGTAGGCTAAGGCAAGAGAATCGCTTGAGCCCAAGAGTTTGACGTTGCTGTGAGCTATGACGCGATGGCATTCTACCAGGGGGCAACAAAGTGAGACTCTGTCTCAAAAAAAAAAAACCCCAAAAAGTAACTGTTCAAATAAGGTTCTGTGAACCCCACAAGGACTTTGGATAAACTCTTATAAAAAGGTACACAAATTTGTGTGTGTGTGTGTCTAATTTTCCTAGGAAAACAGAACTTTCAACAAACTCTCAGAGTTCAGAGATCTCAAAAAGCAAATTTGCCTGTTAAAGGGATGATTTATACAGAGGGATATATAAGGAAACTATATGTATTTTCAGTGAAAACACAATGAATGCACCAGGTTCAAAATTCAAACAAGTACAAAAGAGGACACTATGAAAAGTCTCCCTACCATCAAGATCTCCTGTCAGCTCAGGAGATCTCCTTTACCTCCCCTCCCAAGATAATCAAAATAAACATTTCCAGGAGCATTCCATGAAGAAATAGCATTACTGTAAATATAAATATAAAGACATAGCTACGTTTAGGTATAAGTATATGAAGTAGAACTTAAAAAGCAGTACAAGCATTATTCAGACGAACCAAACCACACTGGAGTGGTGTTTCATTACTGAAATGAAACCCTCAAGTCTCGAAAATTATTTTTGTTCTCTAATGTTTTAACCCAAGAGTCCATAAATAATTTCTTAAGTGCCAACACAGTAAATATCTGAGGGCTGCAGGCTGTATGGCTGTGTCACACTTAACTCTACTCAGCTACTATAGCTTTAAAGCCACTATAGACTATATACAATCGAATGGGCATGTTCTGATTTCAATAAAACTTTATTTACAAAAAAAGAGGGGCTATAATTTGTTGACCCCCGCAGAACAGTCTATAAATGTATTTGAAATTGACACCCTCCTTTAAATTGGTGACACAATTGCTGGGAAATATTTTATTTCCTAATAAATGAATAAATAATATAGTTCTAATCTTGCTCTTGCCCCACTTCCTGCCATTTTAGAATTCAGCATTTTAAAATAGCTGTTGTCTAAATACAGACAGATCTCATAGGTTTTACCATATTTTTAAATAAACAAGCATACCCTAGCAACCTTCTTTCCCATCACCAAATGATTCAAAAAGCTGTTTTTACCTGTAGGCCAAGAAAGCTACTGGCCTCTGATGCCCATGTTCATCAGTCATAGAGCCAACACTTGGAGGTTCAACAATCACATCATAAATTATTCCTATGTGAAAGACAAAGTAGGTTAAATTACTAATTTTTAAAAACAGGACTAGTTTTCATTGTCTATAAAGGTTTATTTGCTTTTAAATAGGACTATTTTGGTTGTGTTATTATAATCAAATAAGGCTCAGCTAAACTAAGCCTCCAATAAGCCATTCAGATATTAAATTCTATGTTTTAGAATTACTCTTGGCTCGGTGCCTATAGCTCAACCGGCTAAGGCGCCAGCCACGTACACCTAAGGTGGCGGGTTCGAATCCCCAGCCCGGACCCGCCAAACAACAATGACGGCTGCAACCAAAAAATAGCCGGGCGTTGTGGCGGGCGCCTGTGGTCCCAGCTACTTGGGAGGCGGAGGCAGGAGACTCGCTTGAGCCCAGGAGTTGGAGGTTGCTGTGAGCTGTAATGCCACGGCACTCTGCCCAGGGGGACAGCTTGAGGCTCCGTCTCAAAAAAAAAAAAAAAAAAGAATTACTCTTAAAACAATATTATCTCTAAAGAGTGCAAATTTCATAAAGGAAATCTGTTCAATAACAATTGCTAATATTCAAGAATGATTCTATAATAAAGAAGATTTAACATTAACGGCTGTATTTTAGGTCAATAAAACAGTCCACATGTTTGAATTTGTTTCTATAACTTGAAATGTTAACCAGAGAAATTTTCTTGCTTAAATGTAAAAGGACATTTTATTTATTATTTTTTTAAATTTTTGTTTAATGAGGGTTCAAATGATTAGGTTACAATATTCGCACTTCTAAGGTAAAGTTCAAGTTGTAGCTGAGCTACACAACTTGTACTTCACCCAGGGGGTGTGCTGTATACCCTCACATTGTGCATGTTAGTTGAGAGATCACCAATCCCTCTCCCTCCTTCCCTCTTCCCTACACATGAATATACTTGTTTTTTGCTCTTGTCTGAGTGTACCATTGTTTTTCTATTGGTTTCATATTAATGTTGAAATACACTGAATACTTGTGACACTTTACTAATAAAAGTGTGCTTTGACTCCATCTAGGTAAATACAAAAGACATAAAGTCTCCATCTTTTTTATGGTTGAACAGTATTCCATGGTTTACATATGCCACAGTTTATTAATCCATCCATGGGTTGATGGGCACTTGGGTTGCTTCCACGTCTTGGCTATTACAAATTCCACTGCAATAAACATTCTAGTACAAATGTCCTAAAACAAGCACACTTTCAAACCACACCACCAGGCAGACTAGCAACACAAGAGATTCATAACCACTAATGTTAATGTCCACCATTACATCATAAAGTCATCCTGATCATTACCAGTAATGTCCACCAAGATAGTTTTCTCAATCTCTCACTGTCAACATCTACTCCTTACTTTCAACTCTAGCTTTTTTTTTCTTTTTTGAGACAGAGTCTCACTATGTTGTCCTCAGTAGAGTGCCATGGCGTTACAGCTCCCAGCAACCTCAAATTCTTGGGCTTAAGCGATTTGCTTGCCTCAGTCTCCTAAGTAGCTGGGAATACAGGCCCCTGCCACAATGCCCAGCTATTTTTTTTTT